CTACAGAAGTTTTACTAAATATTTGCCATTTTATGTAATGTAGTAAAATAATGATTTATCATTTTACTAAAAAAATTTTCAGAAATAGGAAAGAAAAGTATTTTTATCTTATTTAAAATATAGTTTCTATTTATCGCAGTAAATTGAATAGCATTTTGAATTATATATTCTTTACGTATACTTTTATTAAATTAGAATTGCAAAAATATTTCCTAATAAATATATTTCAATCCCTTTATCTCTATTGATAAAATTAGTATTTGTTGTGGATAATCTTAATAGTGACTTATGTACAATTACTGACTTTTTATGCTTTTACTATAACGTATATATAATAAATTTATAAAATTATACAAAAAATATTAATATTCGTTAAAAATTGTTTAAAAAATATATGTGCAATAATTTTCTATATATAATGACAATGCGTGTTGTGATAACTTATGTTTTTGAATGAAAGCTTGAATGAGTTTTTTGTTTAATGTTACAAAATATATCCATTTTACTTTATATCTTTTACATTATTTGAAATTTCATATTGTTATTAAATAATATACATGATAAACTGTTTAAAGTATTACTTTCCTTTTACTATTTCTTATATATAATTGTAATTCTTTTAGTCTTTCATCTAGTTTATTATAAAAACGAGAAAATAAAAGAAGAAAGAAGAAGAAGAGAGAATATGCTTTTATTATTAGTGGTACATGTTACATAAAATACTAATTTTAATATAATTTTGATATTTTATTACAAATTGCAAAATAATCTCTATTTAGGAATATTACTAATGATGTTTTTATAAATAGAATATTATAAATTTAAACATTCAAATAGACTCAATAAAGTAGAATTTATTTACACTTCAGCCATACAGCCAAGAAGGGGACTTGGTTTACAAGAATACTATTTATCCACATTCATTTATCCTTCCATATCTTATTGTCCAGCTTATTCTATTCCTACACGGAAAGAACACTTTTGCTGGCAAATCTAAAAATTTGACTAGATACAGATCTGAAAACGGCGAAATGGTTGGACTTTCAAAATTATTATATACGATATTCAAATTGATTATTAGAAGATCAAACATTTTTGTAGTATTGTCATCATATTTAAGTGTTCTACAAAATAATTTTGATGGGCCAACAAAATTATTTTCAGATCTGTATCAAATTTTTAGATTTGCCAGCAAAAGTGTTTTTTCTGTGTATTCCTCTGAGCTCTTTTAATTTCATTTTTCCGCTCGCTTTTAAAAAAATTCACTGATTCTTCTTATTTTACATTTAATACTTATTTATTTAAATCTAGTCACAGTCTATCTTATCACTTTTCCTTTTCACTTTTATCTACATTCTTTTTCTCTTTTCTTCCATTTCCTTAAATCATTCCCTTTTGTCCAATCTAGTTCTTCCTACCATATCTCTTCAAGATCGCTTCTTCGTCCCTACTTATTTCTATCCACCAACCTTTATTTCTCTGGCATTTTTTAACATAATGTTCCATATTATCTTTTCCCTGTCTACAAAAGATACGTATTCTCTTTTCTTCTAATATTTGCCAATATTTGTTCATTTCTTCTAGGTTTTCAATTTCTTAATTTTACCAGTGCCCTAACACCCCCCGGACTTAAGAAAAATAATGTTATGTAAGTATTGGAAAACATAATTTTTAATATTTATCTTTTATAAAAGGACATTATGTAGACTTTACAATTAATTTTTAATTAAGTGTAAAATCTACATAATACTTTATAAAAAGTATTTTGCTAAATAATCAAAAATATATATTATATAGTATTATATATTATATATATTTTACATATTCTATAAAATATATTATCTTAAATATTTCTAATTTATTAGAAATAAATGTATACGTGGAAAATATTTTCATAGATAAAATCAAAACAATATTCATATCCGTATATATTATTTATGGTAAAAAAATTAAAAATATGGTCATTACAGAAACTATTTAACAATTAATTTTTAAAGGTAAGTACATATTGTGTATCTAACATAAATGTGTAGTGTACCATCTTCATATAATGTTGTGCATCATCTCTTTGCTATTATGAATTTAACTTCAACAAATGTCACAGCTAGTAGCAATTAAAAAAAAAACTGTACAACAACAATATTTATATATAAGAAGTTGTAAAAATGAACAAGAGGAGATTACTATTATTATTATTTTTAATAAAGATTATTAAAATTAAAAGATTTCACTAAACTTTTAAAATACTTTTTAATATCTAAAAAGTATTTCTAAAATGTATTTTTTAACGAAGATTTCAATGACTTATAAGTTGTCTTCTTTTTAATTTGCTCATCAGCTTCCAAACATGTTAGATATTCTTTTTTTATATTTTGATATATTGATCTTTATCGATACATGAGCTATAAAATATAGTGTTTAATAATTAATGGTACACCATTCGTGTATAGATAAAGCAGGTTGAACTGAGCAGAAAAGTCCTATATCATTTTGCGATTTTCGCAGTAGTTAATGAGAAATTAATGATTTAAAATCATTGAATGACTCGTCCGGCAAATATAAACGCATGGTGAGATATGTCATCCAGCATTATATACATTTGTGATTTTTAGAGAAGACATGGCAAGATGTTTAGAGGTGTGATTTACAAATATAATAGAGCATTCATTTATAATGTATGATGGTCATGATGGTCATTGTGAAATTAAATTTCTTAAGAAAAATAATGTAATACTATTAAATATATTTCTGTAAAAAATTCTTAGAGATGTGATTAACAAGCAAAAGTTTTTTATCAAGAAAATGTATGATAACACGAAACAATAAAGCATTTCATCATCAAAATTTATAATATTTCTTATATTATAATACATGTTAACCTACGCAATTTTAACTTATTTTACATGCTTCAGCGATGCTAAAAGTTCGGCAGTTCTGTTATAAAATTCGTGATTTAATAAAATTCATTGCTAATCAATTATGTTTCGTTTCGCTTTAGAGAGAGATATATCAAAAAAATTTTGTTTTTTTATTAATGATAATGTTATTAAATATTTACTTACCTATGCATATGCATTTTTATATACACATACATCTACACTCCTACATTTATTCATTTGCATTTCTATATATTCACATGTATTTTTCTACATAAGCGTTTAGAAATTGCTTTCATGATGTTTATTATACTCTTAAAAAAAACTGGAATTTTTGAAAATGTTTTTACTTTTAGAAATCGGGAAATAACGTGGGATTTTATTATAATTTAAAGAATTTTTTATCTCTTTTTTTACCTCTTTTTATTATAATTTAAAGAATTTTATCTCTAAATTTAAATTTTGCACTTCTCGGAAAAGATGTTTGATAATTTTATTTTCATGATACAAGCTTGATAGTTCGCCAAGATTTAATGATTCAGATTTAATGATCAGTATGCATATAATATACATTTATATATATTGGATACATTGACATGTAACTTGCGTAATTTTTGTAAAAGAAAAATTCAATGTCTCCTTAGAGT